GATAGACAGGTAGACAGGTAGACAGGCAGGTATTTGCTTGTTTATGGGTGCTTGTGCAACATGTACACCAGTGAAGCCATACATACATGCATACAGACAGCCGGACAGACGGACGCGGATGCCGAGTTCCACCCTAAGCTAGCCGAGACCCTATCATCCCCTAAACCGTAAGCCCTCGACTTTTGCCTGTATCCATGAAACCTTGAAACAGCACCTGCCGCCCCAAAAAGAAAGACTTTTTCTCACACACATCAACCTTTTTACAAGTGGGCCCCCCCCCTAACAAACAAAAACATCTCTGCACCGGAACCCCCGGAATCGGCTCCAGATTTTGCTCGCCCGGGCGACTTTCGCCGCAACAAGGATCTACCGAGGCCCCCAGGCTCCAAAATCCATCATGGCCTCACAAGCCCAAAATCCTGAGCTCTGGTATAGCAAGACTGTTCAGATGTCCCTTTGCCCTACAGTTTGCAAGTATTGATACCGCTCCACACTTTAGTGATACTTTGAGCAAACTCCGGTTCAAACTCTCGGCTCTATGTGTTGAGCCTCCTATGCCTCGCCCGTATTCGTAAAGCCTGTGGTCGTGGTAAGTAGACTAGTTAAATGTCCATCATCATCATCATCATAACCATCATCATCATCATCATCCATGATCCCCATCCCCACCATTACCATCATCACTGAAGTCGTCGTCATCATGGGAAAAGCAATTAACAACATAGAGTAGTCGTGAAGAGTAGAGGCCAGACCCGGCGCCTGTTTCGGCGTCTGGTTCGGCGACCTGGTCTTTCGAAGGGGGGGACGGAGCAAAAAAACTCTCGGAGAGTTTGTTTGGGGTGAGATTGTGAGGCCGCTATAGGGCTCAAGGGCGTTAAGAGCGCTGGGCGATTCGGCCTTTAGGATTTGAGAGTGAGGGTTTAGGAAGTTTAGGTTAGGAAGTTTAGGGCCGTCGAGTTTAGGGGGATTTTGGGGCTAGTCTTGTTCCTTCTCCCCGTACTGTGCCCCGGTTCGCCTCGACTACTTTCTGTGGACTCATTGGCCCGCCCCGTGGCACGATAGTGAAATTTCATGTGTTCCACTCAATTTGGGGTGTCTGTAGGCAAACACTCTCGGCAGCGCTAAGGAGGGCGCGCAGCGTTTACAATTATAAAACGGCCTCGAGTTCGTGCCCTGATCGTGAAACACGTCTCTCAAAAAGCTCGCAATCAGCCATCTTTTAACTAGACTCCCCGGCCTCTCTGCGGGCGCTGGGGCCGCGGATTTCGCCGCCAGCACGGCCAAGGCCAGCGTGGAGGCGGCTTCCGATTCTGGAGGAGGCAGCGTGCAGAGGAGTGGGGGCTTTGAGAGTTGGGTTAAGTGCCTTTAGGGTTTAGGGTGTGGGTTTCATATAAGGTCTGC